GATAGACGATCCCATGAAATCATGTCATACTCCAAATGAAACTCATAATATACCGCATGATATTTATCTAGGAAGCTTGCCATAAAGTTGATTAAGTCCATTGGAGCGTTTATTCTGCATCGATTTCAAGTATGACTGAAAGGGATCAACATACAAAACATTGACCTCTAAATGCTTAGGTAAACAAAGTCTTTCCAGATGCCTGAATACCGGTGCACTCTTAACTATCGGCTTCTAATGTTCACGCATTAACAGATGAGCTATAACTGAAATAATGAATACTTGAATCCTCAGTAATGCTTTACGAACAATGTATCTGCTAAATGCAATGGGGAAAATGGCGGTAAATCTGACATTTTATGGCCTCCATATTTAGCACGTCCAGCTTCTGTCTATTTAACATATTTGTTAAAGTAATTTATGCTATAAAGTTTATCGCGTGTTCATCTTAATGCTGGTCCAAGCATTTTTCTTGTTTCATCGCTTTTTAAGTCTGATATTAACGAATCATGAATACAAGTAAAAATAAGAACTGATTCAAACTGGAATGTGATGCAGTGAAAGTACGTTAATTGAAGCCATATGTACAACAAACTACGATTTATTTAATATGATTACAGAAAATCTCCATAATTTCATAAGCCTGTCTTAAAAATTCGTCTTTAATCGTTCGGGCACTGTTTAAATTCAAACTTCATCAAAGGCGCAGTTTCGCTTCACAAGCCGAATGGATTCCACCGTTGATCGATTTTACAGTTATTTAAGAGATAGACACCACGGAGGCAGGTAGTCGCTCGCAGCCTGTTCTTGAATTCGCTGCCAACAAGTGCAGCATTTGTCTGCGAAGATGATCAATAGCATGATAGTGCATGACCTACGTACAAAATAGGTAGCCTACTGAAGTGAGGAACGCTCATTGTTTGATCTGTTCTTCCGGAATAATGCTGTCCTCAACTGTTTTACTTGCTGGAATGTAGACCTTGAAGACAAATCTGCCTCTAGCAAATGAGCCCTGTAAAGACACATGCAGTCACCACAGCGCAACGGATTAAACAGTTTACATACCGGGTTGATCACTTTGCAATCGCTGATTGACTCAGTGAAGGCTCGAAACTTGTCCGCGCAAATGACAACATCTGGCAGTGGATAGATTCGGTTAATATAATCGTACGCCCAATAAACAGGCGTAATATAAAGTGAGAATGGAACCAAATGTGACTGGGACAGTATGGTCCTCGCAAACTGCAACAAACCGCGTATGCAAACATCACTGAACAATCTCAAGAGGTGATATGCGAATTTAAATTTCATGTGAATTTCGAAGGATAACGGATTACGCACAGTCGAAAGATAATATGTTCGAACCCCAGCTCCGAATGGGTCACTCGACTTTAATCTTCCTTGGGCAGATAATCAAGTACCATAAAATTGGAAGAAACAAAAGGCCATAAGCTAAGTGGCTATGAAAAAAGACACTGCGTTCAAAATTGGGCATTCATCGGAGATCGCATCGAAATAGATCAGCGCTGCACAGTAGATTCTATAAAAAATGCATGCTACCTATTGCGCCTATCATGAAACTGTGCGGAAGACGATATCCAAAGAGTAGCAAAACGCCTTTTCTTTTAGCTACAGTCAGCAGCTGAAATATACGAAAATACGTTTCAATACTCGATTCGTAGTCACCAGAACGAAGCATCAACCAACTGGTTTAACAATTGAATAAGCGGTTTCCTCAGCAGTAGCTGACGAGTAGTTACAGGTCTATAAGTCATTAACATCAGGACCAGGAACTGTATACCATCAAGTTAGTACTAACTTTTCTAGGAAAAAAACTCACAACAGAAGAAAAGGTCTGGAAGGTGTCCTCTGTTCATTAATAGAATCGGATAAACTATTTACGTTGTTTTACGATCCATTATCAAGCATCAGCATCCTTACGGATGATCGAAATCTGGTTTGAAAAGCGAAGAGAAACTACGAACCTATAAATAGTAATATCACAATCTGCGTGCCATCTTATCACCGCACTGACTTCGTCGGAGTGAGATCCACTGTGACATCAGCAGGCAGTTTACAATGGACTACGCCAGAAACTCGACCAATTCAAGCAGTGAATAATATCAAGAATGGAAACTGTGGCTAGGAAATATCCAAAACTGGTTAAGCTTCTTAAAATCATTGAAGGATGAAAATGAGCTAAGAATTCCTCAAGCATGGAGCAAAGGTAGCAGGCGATTGTTGCAACGAAATTGGTGAAGACTGTGAAGAATATAAACATGAAGACTTTCAAGCAAGGAAAGTTTATATGCTTCAATAACTCTCAAGTAGCTCTAATTACTTGCAATACAATGACACATATACTAATTCTGCCTCAACCTGTTCGCTTGAATGATGAAAGCTGACAGGCGTGTCAAAATCTCATCCCGCTGTATAGCGACTTTTTGTTGCATGTCTCGCTATCGACTTTTTGTTTCCC